TAAGTCTTGAAAGCGAAATTTACGGCTGATTGAAGTGCACAGGTACGATGCACTTCTCACAACCTGAAACGACCGACCAATAAGAACAAAACAAAGAAAGATTGCAAAACAAAACAAAAAATAAATAAATGAATAAAATTAAATAATAAATAAAGTAAATATTTGAATACTTCAAAAAAAAAATTGTCATTGTACAATTTAAAAACAAAATCACATTGAAGATAAAAAGATTAGTGGATATAGAAAGTCATAATAAAAAATAATAACGAAAATGCTAATAGCATATTTTTGCTTAAGTCTTACTATATTTGTACCATCCTTACCTTGTGTTACTTTCAGACACCACTTATATGGTACAAACAAACGCCCCCAGCAGCTCCTGCAATATGCAGCCTGTTATTGCTTGTGTGACTGTTGTAAGAACACAACCAGTTAACTACTTAGGCCTATGTGTGTATCTTTGTGGCACTAGTGTACAAAGATGCAAACAAACAAGCGACCGAAAAAAAAAGCAAGCTAGCAGAAAAGTAAATAAACGGAAATAAATAAATGGATAAATAAAGTGAATACTGAATAAATTGCATTTTTTTTTCATTTTCATTATAAAATAATTTAAAAAATCAACATGAAGATCACAATGTATTATTGGAAATTGAATGAAAGCCCAAAATTAAATTTTAATGATGATAATGATAATATATTTTTGCTTAATTTTTAAAACTGTACTGTACAATTGTACAATCCTTATACCTAAGTTGTGTTTCCTTCAAGAGCCACCTGCATGCTCCACTCAAACGGACCCATACGAAGCAGCCTACAATATGCAGCCTGCTACTGTGACTACTGTAGTAAGAACGCAGCCAAATGACCACTTCTGTTTGGCTTTCTTTGTTACACTGTGTTGCTGTTTTCCATTTGGAATTATCGGAATGGGGTACAGCCAAGCTGTAAGTTAACGCATTATTTTACAAACAATCTGCAGAATATTAACGGTTTATTAAGCCAATTAATGGCAATGTCTATAAAAATGTCACAGAAACTTACAGGGAAACATCACGGAATGGAATTTTGATTTTGAATTAGGTTGTACAGTGTGCCTACCGTTTTACTCTGCACTGTCACAAAAGCTTACAAAAACAACTTGCCGGCTAGTACAGCCTTGTTCTGCTAATGAAAATCGAAGAGGTAATATTTGAATTCTATTAATTATTAAAACTACAGTACTCTATTGATTGATTTTTTTTTAGAGTTCAAAAAAATTTAACGAGGGAGACGATGTCGGAGCCGTGAAAGATGCTGACAGAGCGAGAAAATGGTCACTTTCTGGGCTATGTATTGCTGTGACAGGGATTTTCATATATATAGATGTGAAGATTGTGGAAGCTGTATGGTTATGAGCTTCCAAGAGCGAATCCCTGGCCACAAGGAAAAGGAGTGCTGAGGAAGATGAGCAAAGCAGCTCCACCCCAGCAATCTACTGCAGAGCCTTGGTATCTCTTGCAGAATACACACATACACAATTAATAAGCCTTAACTTAAACGACCTAATTCCTGATTTTAAATCAGAAAAACTGTCTTATGTGGAGTACAGGTATAACAACACGAACATGCACTAGACTCAAAGTGGTTTTCTACGATAATGTCCAGTGACCGACATCTGTTTCGTAGTTTTTAAACATGATAAAATCAAATGATCTTTAAGTTTATAATGGGAGCAAATGTCACATCTTTAGGTCATACGTCCAAAATCTCTTTCAGCATGCAATATTGCTTGCATTTGCATTTTTTGTTCAAAAATAGGTTCAGAAAGACTGATGCTTTGTATTAGGCCTAAGTATATTTTAGCTCTACATTTTGCCTTCTTATGCTTTATGCATGTGTATTATATACTTTAAAGTGTTCTTTCAAAATTAATAATAAAAAAAAACTTGAATTATGAATGTTCAGTAGCACGTACACGTCGCATAACATATATGGGCTCTCATTGGCCGAAGCAGGGCCCAGAACTTAAGGGGCCCGGGATGCGCGCGCCCGGGATAGCCATCAGCATTTTTAATTTTGCTCCAAATCATCCGAACAGGGCCTTCGAAGAGCAGAGCATGTAAAAAACATCAAAATATGCCCTTAAAATAAAAAAAAACAAACAAAATAACAGAAGTTTACCCCGTCCCCACTGAACTCTCTACTTGGACACACCCCAGGGTAGTGTGTCCTACGATTTCTTAACCAGCCGCTGGTTACGCAATTTTTGACGTGATGGTCCATCCATCATTCATTTTTGGATGTAGACCACTTCCTGGCAGTGCCATCTTCTTTATTCTTATTATTCTATAATCTTAGGCCTATATAGTTGTGCTAATGGTTATTAATATTAATTGATAAAAAGCGCACTTTCACATTCGACACAATTTCAACTTCCTAGACCAAAAGTTACTCCATACAATATCGTAAATAAATTGTTCAAATGTTAACCCAAATTCTTTGTTTATTCAGTAGGTTTCATAGGTACCGTTTCATGATGTACAGGTATATATAAAATAAGAAAAATGGCTTATCTTTCAATTTATGTTTCAAGTCACACACAATGAACTCTCACCTTGAAAATTCCCATTCACAAACTATGGTTATCGCACCTGAAATGATATGGAGAATACAAACATATATTACTAATGAGTATCCTGGGCCCTGCTTCAGCCAATGAGAGTTCCCTGACGATACCGTTATTAGAAATAAGAAATAACTCGCTTCTTCAAAGTTGCACAACATTGGTTTATTATACATTAAATGCATTTAAAAAAAATATTATTTATATATCGTTTATTCTAATGAATATTCTACTGGGTTACTCTCAGGGTAGCGGGTGACTTTTATCAGGGAACAGTCAAATTACTTCACTGGGTCACATGCATATGATATTGTAGAAGGAATGTTGGTAAATGCGCGGCCCGATCCGTATCGATCAGTGTATGTACAACATCGTTGGTTTTAGCCTACTTTATTTACGTTCAAGTTTAAAAACAAGTTTGACTTTCAAGCATTATGCATATACTGGTTTTGCGACAGCTATTATTTATATAATTAATGAATGGTATCTAGTCATTATAGGGCTTATATAATAAAATGTAAAAGCAGTTATATATGGTTTCGAAGTCAAGTCATTATTTATAATGAAATCAGTGAACTTATTGTATATACATAATTGATTGTTGGTTATTTTAATTGTTTTTATATAATTATATATAAAAATACGTTTTATATAACCCTTTCCTTATTTATATATATTAGGTAAATAAGTGAACTTATGTAAATAATGATTGGTTACCCTTTCATTATTTATAGGCCTATATAATGAAATAATTATACTCATTTTATATAAATAATGAAAACTTTTACGTAATTATTTACATATAATTTCTATATGTAAAATGCATTATATAAAAATATTGATCCATTTAATTTTATTTTCAATAATGAATTATATAAATAACGGTGTTAAATAATGACCTTACACTTGGCGCCTCATATTCTTCTCGGATCTTAATCTTCTCGGATAAGGAGTATAAACTGTAGGCCCAGTGTATATGCCTAAGTGTATACAATGGCTCGTGTGCACTATAAAGAACTCAGTACATTATATTATTATTATTAGTATTATTATTATAATTTAGGTGGGCCTTGAACTGCCTGATCAAATATAATGATATAAAAAAAAAACATTTAGACCATGGACCTTATTAATAAGTCCACGTTTAGACCGTGCGAAAGGCAGTTTATTGGAGGAAACCCCGATTATGGAACAGATACATAATAAAGATGGCAGATACTAAAAGTTGGCAAATCGACGATCATTTGATAGACTATTTCCTGTGCTCTTAATCAAATTTATCTGTCTGAAATTTCCTCTAGAATGCCAAAATATGAAGTAAGATGAAGGCTGTATACGTTAGTATGGCTTTGGGTGCAAACAAATACGTTTGTCTCAAGGCGTTTTTTTTTTTTTTAAACTAATAGTCTTGCATGTACTTTTGTTTGAGTTTGTGCATATATAAGTTGGTCCTCAAAGGAATTCGATTTATGATTGTGACCGTGATTTAAATTGTTTGACCTTGGAGCTCTCGTATAGTAATTTCTATGATGGTCCATCTGACAAACTAACTAACAAACTAGAGACATTTTTCATTCATACAACTGAAATAAAGTTTCCATGATAAGTAATGTTTGATACGATTATTAATCGAGTACTTGTTATTAGTATTCGAACCTGCAACCTCTTGCTATCAAGGTGAACATGCGTATGATTTAGCAATAAGGCCCACTTCCGAGGCTCATATAAACATGTGTGCCAAGAAAGCGAAGCATAATTTAACTTTCCGCAGCAAAATATTAGTATCGACGAACTACTCAAACACGCTGCCTTTGTTTTGCTGTACAGAGTTTGGAATCATTACAATGGAAAAAGAACCAAGTAAGTTTCTTCTGAGTAGTTGAGATGACGAATATCTCTTCTCATATTATAGGCCCACCTGAAAAAAAGCAACACACATTCTTTTCTTTAATAGAAAAACCAGTAAAAAAATTCCCCGCCTCAGTGTTCTTATTTTTTGCCGATTTTAGGATAAAAATTAAAAATAGTAAAGATAGTCAATTAATAATATCATAGAGGGGAAATAGTCTCATCGCAGTGCATAGAGGTACAGATAAGATTCGTTGGTTTTTCTGTGGAAAGAAAATTATAACCTTACTTGACAATTACCTCAACCTCGATTTTTTTTTTTCATATTTTTGTTCTTATCTGTTAAGTATTGCTTTGTTAATTAAGTAACAATAATTATATATTTATATAGGAATTTTCTTTTGTATACAGATAGGAAATCAGATGAATTTACTTCAATTATATATTTCATTTGTTCTTATGCAGGTCTATGTATAATAAATTAATAATGCTACACATAATTATAAGCATATTAACTTTAAAAACATGTACTAACAACATATAATATATATAACACATCTTATTATCTAACAATACATTGATTAATATTTATTGAGCTAAAGAAAAACTTATTAGGATACCGTACAAGGAATAGAACAAATTAACAAGCTTTTTAGTTTTGAATTTTGCTGATTTTACACATAAAATTATGGTACGTTTCCTGCTTTTTTGTTTTCAGATTCCCCACAAACAAGTCTATCGCCAGAGGTAGGCCTACTGTACATTACGCTCTATTGAAATAAATGCATAAATTATAAAAAAGTATTGATTATAATGAAGATATATTTACATAAGTACATTATAATGGTTATAACAACGACAATATTTACGGGTAATAAATATAAATTTGTAATATGATAAATAACAGTGGCGTATAGGAACCTTGAAAAAAGATGGAGAACTGATGTGGTCGCGAAGTTGAAGTATATGGGGCTCACTAATTACCACATCAATTAAAATCTACAATAGAAAACGAATTGAACATTTTAATTATCAATTTTGCCTTTAAATATAGGTATATGCCAAAATAATTAAGTCTTTAAAGCGAAATTTACGGCTGATTGAAGTACACAGGTACGATACACTTCTCGAAACCTGAAACGACCGACCAAATAAGAACAAAACAAAGAAGAAAGATTGCAAAACAAAACAAAACAATAAATAAAACGAAATGATAAATAAAGTAAATATTGAATACTTTAAAAACAAATTTTATTATACAATTTAAAACAAAATCACATTGAAGATCAAAAGATAAATGGATATAGAAAGCCATAAAAAATAATAATGATAATGATAATAACATATTTTTGTTTAAGTCTTACAATTATTATTGTACCATCCTTACCTTGTGCTTGTTTCAGGCACCACTTATATGGTACAAACAAACGACCTTTGGGGAAACCCCTAGCAGCTCTTGCAATATTCAGCCTGTTATTACTAGTGTGACTGCAGTAAGAACACAACCAGTTAACTACTTAGGCCTATAGTGTGGCTATCTTTGTGGCACTAGTGTGGAAAGATGTATACAAAAAAGCTGCCGAACAAAAAAAGAAAAGAAAACAAACAAAACAAAAACAAAAACAAAAAACAGAAAAGCAAGCTAGCGGAAAAGTAAATAAAGGGAAATAATTAAATGGATAAATAATGTGAACACCTATGAATAAATTGCATGTGTTTTTTTAAATTTTCATTATAAAATAATTTAAAAAAAATTAACATGAAGATCACAATGTATTATTGGATATTGAATAAAAGCCCAAAATAAAATATTAATGATGATAATGATAATATATTTTTGCTTAATTTTTAAAACTGTACTATACAATTGTACAATCCTTATACCTAAGTTGTGTTTCTTTCAGGAACCACCTCCGTGCTCCACTCAAACGGACCCATACGAAGCAGCCTACAATATGCAGCCTGCTACTGTGACTACTGTAGTAAGAACGCAGCCAAATAACTACTTATGTTTGGCTATATTTGTTACATTGTGTTGCTGTTTTACATTTGGAATTATCGGAATTGTGTGCAGCCAAGCTGTAAGTTAACGCATTATTTTACAAACAATCTGCAGAATATTAACGGTTAAGACAACCATGGCAATGTCTATAAAAATGTCACAGATGCTTACACGGAAACATCACGGAATGGAAGTTTGATTTTGAATTAGCTTGTACAGTAGGCCTACCGTTTTACTCTGCACTGTAGTCAACGGAATTACGCATTTCATTTTCTTTTTATTTTCTTTTATTTATTTTTTATTACGCATACTCGAGTCTTATTAATTCCGGAGTTTATATTATTTATTCCACTGAATGTGTGCAATATAAAAATCCTGTTGCTTTAAGTTAGTAAATATTATGAATTTTTATAATATTTATATTCTCCTGGCTTGTACAGCTTTGTTCTGCTAATAAAAACTTCAACACTAACATTTGAATACTATTATTTATGAAAACTAACTTTTATATCTTTTGTGGTTGGGCCACCATATTTATTCATCAAGTAAGTACATCATCATCATAATATATAATGCAAATGAGTGAAGAAGTAAGAATTAGGTTCAGATATTAACAGTTATCTTTTTTTTGCATGCGCGTTCTTAGTAATTTATTTATAACGTTCTTGACATCTTTACATGTTACTTCTTTTTCACCTCTAGTATAAATTTTACAGTCAATTGTGTTTTTTAGTGCATAAATAAAGCTATTCAGTAATTTATTCTCTCAGGTATATTTAGTTCGGAAAAATTTTTTCCCCTGTATATCGTAAACATGGCAATGGTAGCCTATACACTTCATTTATTTTACAATTATCAACACCAATCACAATGCATTTATCTTCTTTATTATCTATCTTAATGTGGTATTAAATATCATATCAATAATTTTATGAACATTTTTCCATAATTCAGCAACAGTGTTGCATTCAAGAAACATATGTTTTTCATCCCCTATTTGTCCATATTGGCTGCAAAAGTCAGTAGTTTTTATCTTCCAACAGTCTTTTATTAGTTTGGATCATTTTGTTGAGAAATTTTAAATCAAATTTAGCATACTTTATTTTTTTAACCCAACCCTTAAACAATCATTGAGCTTACGTGCCAATTTTGAGTGTGAAATTTGAGGAATAAAGACAGAGTTTACAAATCAATTTGATTTAGCCCTTGAAACGTGCTGATGCAAACACTTAACGGCATGAAATTTTCATTGACATGTGAATAATTATTTATAATTGCTATCCATTCTTTAGGTATAGCTTCAAGTAGAGATGTATATTCACTTACTAGTTAATTTTACTTAACACATTTTTTAGTATTTCTTTCACTGTCAAATGTCTATTTTCAACAAAAATATCTTTAATTTTAACGATCCGTGATGAAAACTACTTTACTGATTGATTAAATTGTTTCGGTTTGTTTTCTTTTAGAGTTCACATAAATTTAGCCATGGAGACGATGTCGGAGCCAAAGAATACGCTATCTGTGCAAAAGTCTGGTCAATAGCTGGACTATTTATTGGTGTAGCGGTGATAGCTTTCGTGTCCATATCGGTTGTTTACTATATTAAGCACAGCAAGATACACCCAACTAGTATCCCAACTAGTATCACACCGACACAACTAGTATCAAATGGACCTTTCCGCTAAGCTCCGCCCCTTGGATTTTGTTGCTAAGGCCCAACAAGACGGCAGTGTTAAAACATACGCGAACACGTGCGTTTGTGGGACAACACGTGTGTTTGTAAGACGCGCGCGTATTCCTAGCGTTGTTCTGATTAGTCAGTTGTGAAGTGATTGACACTCCGGAAAGGTCTATTTAGGTTAGATGTAATGCTATCAAAAATTTCCTTCGGGCCTTGCAGATCCCCAGGAATTTTTTTCAAGCATTAGATCTAACCTTCGTATAATAATTTTTCGTTAGTCTACGGTGCAACCTCTACTAACTGCTTTATAAGTCAATCGTTGTCTTTTAATGTTAGTTTTGATAATAATCAACTGTTTTACCGGTCATTGGTTGCTATAGTGATCTCATCAGAAACTGTGCGCATTACAGCTGATATGCTCCTGCAGTGCGCACTCGTAACACACCCACTTAACTATAGCGACTTTAATCAGTACGGATACGATGAATAAATCTTTATTTTGTTTGAAGAACTTGTAGTCCTAATGCATTTTAATAGACATTCGTCAAAGAAATAAACATTTCTTAAAGCAAGTGAGAGAATACACCAATCACTTTTTGGTCGGTGCAGACAGGTAAAATTATTATGATTATTATTATAGTTATTATGATATCATTATATGCTACGATCTAGGCCTATGAGCATGCAGGCCTCTGGGTGTGTGTCCTCCTGCCTAGGTTAGGACTACCTATATAATTTCATTCCTTGAGTCTTTAAACTAGGAGAATATTTCTATTATATGTTCATTCTTTAGTTTATAATTAGAGTTCATTGATTCAAGGTATTCCTTAAATTTTCATAATTAATATTGGATTTGAATTAACTTTCTTCAGGTTTTAATCAACCTTGTTTTCAATTACCATTTGTCAACAAACGACGATTGGGCAAGTGTCTTTCCTCATGACGTAGGGCTAGGCGTAAAAGAAAAAAACTAGCCTAGTAATCGGTGACGAAAAAATGTACTGTATTTTCTTTTGCACAACCTAAATAAAATCAAGTCAAGCGTGCATTATTTGCAAAAATATTGTCCTGTGGGGATTTAATTATACAAATAATGGTTTTTATGAGTACAATGGGGTAGAATATTTCATGAGGTGAAACATTAAATGCTCTATTCAACGAGAGGCGTAGCTTATTTGAATAGAACATCCAATCTTTCACTGAATGAAATAATTTACCCCATTGTAAGAATGAGAAACATTCATTATTTGTTTTATACAACAACCCCTTTATACGTCGCATGCATACTTTGGTGCTATGATTATTATAGTATGCTCTAATTTTTAAAATATAATATTATGTTTGTTTTAAAACTCTTTATGTTCTGTGTATATTATAGCATTCGGAGGTTTAAGCATGTATTTTGCTTTAAGTGTTACCGTAATGTATAATTTAAATGTAGTCAATAATTTACCTTTGATGTACTGTACTGTCAGGGTGTAATTTAATATAACTATGTACGAGTTCTTGGCGGCTGCCCATTTTTAGATATTTAGCTATGAATCTATTGTTTTCGTCATTTGTAAATAAAATGATAGTTTCCATCCAAACTTTGGTTATGTTTCATTTCGTCTTGACCGACCTTGTGCGACACAAAACCATTTTTTAAAACATTAACTCTACTAAATGGAACGTGAAACGTAGGATATTATTTCTGAGAATGGCGACTGGGGACTCTAGATTAAAATTGTAGACTAAACTACAATCAAACATAGCATTAACAAATTTACACACACACACCCACACAACAACAAGATCAAATAAATTCCGTCAAGACTCTGGACATTAAATGTTAGCTAAGTGGAATATTGAGATTCTAGTTGTGGCTGATGTAGCGCAAAAATTATTCTGTGAATGCGTGCAGATTGGGTTTTGGAAATTTAATTGTAAATAACAGAACAAAAGTTTAGAGTGGTTTGAATTATAGTGAAATAAAGATGAATTTTGGATTGCCTGTCAAAGTGTTTGCAGTTGCGCCACATCAGCCCTTAGCAGTCTATTGCTCTTGCCAACAAGCTGATCAACGTGCGAAGAAAACTAAGAATGCTGTCAATAAAAATACCAAGATCCTTTTGTGAATGCACCCTGTTATGGGATTGTAATTATTTAAATAGTGTTGTGCATTAAAATATTCTTTTTTAAGGTCATAGTAAGATATTGCACTACAAGGGTTTATGGACGACCAAGAACAAAGTTTGTCCAAGTCCATCTGAAGCTTGCCGGCGTCCTCAATGCTGATAGTTTAAAACATAACATATTGACATCATCAGCAAACATAAGGCATCTGGAGCGAGTAAAGAGGTCAGAGATATCGTTAACATAAAGACTTAATAGGAGAGGACCAATAATCAAGCCCTGTGGAACACCAGAGTGGATAGTAATTCACTTTGATGTTACACCATCGACGAACACTCGCTGCAAACTACCATATAGTAACTAATAAACCTGGAAATCAAGGTATTATCCAAACCAAAACTGTAATTTAAAAAGAAGTAAGTTATGTGGAACTTTGGAAAAGTCAGTATTGCATCACATTGTTTCCTGTCAACAAATGGCTTAATAATTCAGAAGACTGGCAAGGTTTGTTTAGCAAGATCTACCAGCGAGAAAGCCAAGTTGACAAGGAGCAACGGGAGGAACATGGGTCTAGATATGATTAAATAATCCTTTCAAACAATTTAGAGATGGTTGGTAGCAGCGAGATTGATCTATAATTAGAAAATCAATTTATTGGTGTCCCCCCTTGTGTATAGGAACAACATTTGTACGTTTTTAAAAAGTAGGAAACTGCATAGCTGCGTCGTCGGAAGCACTTTGCAAGTGGTCCGGCCAATAAGAGTGGGCGTAGGTGGGTGATGGGATGTCTTCACTTTTAATTTAAGGGTTACTATTTTTTAATTGGAAGTAGGCCTAATAAAAATTTTATAATAGTTATTTATTATTTTATATTATACCCCTAAACATTTTCAAAATCAATCTTAAATATGGAAATTAAGGATTGCCAATAAAGTTGAATTGTCCATGGAAATACAAAAGCAATACTCATGGTCTGTCTCTTATACACATCTCAACCTAAATAAAATCAAGTCAAGCGTGCATTATTTGCAAAAATATTGTATAAGAGACAGATTTACCTATTTGCTTACATGTGTTTACGGTCCTACATACCAAACTATACATAATAAACAAATGCAAATTGTTAACGTGAATAAGATGAATCTTGGAGTGCGGAAATAAAGTTCCCCCAAACCAGAACCTTCTGTTGTTTATGCCGTCTTCTCTATTTTTTCATGTTTTATATAAAAATATTAATATATTTCTGTTTTTGCATACAGGCAAATGTGTTATAGTAGGACATCACTCACAGTAGTGGCAATCAAAATTTAAACCCTTAAAATAAAAGTGAAGACATTATTTTTTAAGTTATGCATGTGCTATTTTCAGGCTGAGGAGCCTTTCTTTCAACCATAGTGAAAAATGTGTGTTGTATAAACAGTTGCGTATCTAGGGTCAAAGGGGTTTGATGTGGGGAATTCGAATGTGCTGTCGGGGTGGGGGTTCGATGATTTATTTGTGAGGACGCTAGGTCGAAATATAAAGTGATATTTGGTGATTTTTAACTACTTTTTTTTTTTGCTTCAGTTTCGATGGGGAGGGGGACTCCCTCTAGCACTCCTTAGATACGTCATTGTATAGAAAACATTACAAGATTGATATTTATTTATATTTTAGTTCAGGTCATATTTAATCATAATTTAAATGGTCTTGTAAAACTCAGAATGTAGACACAGCTGCAATCACCACTATAGGGCTATACTAATTGGTGAGTTATGGATATGTAAAATGTATATGGCGGCCATTTTGGATGTCTTTTTAGAATTATTCTTTTTAAAACATTTATTATTTCTCATTAAATCAAATAGTGATTTTGTTTTGGGTCATATGTGAGATGGAACCGACTACTCTTACTGGTTGTTACTAAAAATTGATTGACTTTTATATAAAAGGTCATAACTTGTATTGTTCCAACATTTTTTGGTCACGCTCATAGATAGTTTCTGCTCAAAAAACCTTTTTTGGAACAGATCCATATTTAAGATGGCTGCTAGTATGAAAAGTGCAAATCGACGTTAATTTCATAAACCATTTCCTCTGCATAATCAAATTTATCTCTTTGAAAACTTCCTCTCGAATTCCAAAATACAAGGGAAGACGATGGCTGTATACGTTAGTGTGGGTTTTGGTAAAAACCATAGAGCTATTATTATATCTCTATGGTAAAAACACAAATTCGTTTCTTTCAAGGCGTTTTGCATGTACTTTTGTTTGGGATTTATTTTTTTCTATTAAGTTGGCCATCACAGGAATTTGATTTGAGAATTGTGCTTATTTTTAATTTAATTTTATTCCTTTTGTGAAAAACACAAAAATACATTACAAAGAGTAAAACAAAACACAGAACAAATTTCAAGAAAAAATAGCAACACAGAAATGATTGGAACATCATTCAAATTGTTTGGCCTGGGAACTCTCGTTGAGTAATGGTGGCATAAAGACGGTCCTAACATATTCAATAGTAGTTTTTATGAGACAAGATAACAAATCGGAGACAATTTTTTATGGAACCGTAATAAACGAAATTTTAATTGATGAGCTATGCTTGATACGACCATTATTACATGTTTATGTTCAAGCACTGTTATTAGTATTCGAACCTGCAACCTCTCGCTGTCCAGGCGAGGATAATATACCGATTAGACCACGGATTGGATATACGCGTATACATAACACACAGGCACTTTTTTTCTCATGCAATTACTAACTGAAACGTTCACACACAGGGCCTAGTGGAGCTATTGTTAAGCTGCAAGGTTACATGTGTGTGCTTGTGTCTGTTCCAGTGTACGCTTAGACCATCGAGGAATTAGTCTATATGCTTGGACTCATAACATTTTCCGGACAATATGAAATAGAAAAGCACCAAAATGTTAATGCAAATTTATGTAAAGATAACTATGCCGTTATGACGCACACGAGTAACAGTCTGACGGAAATAAATGACGGAATAATGTGTGTAATGTAGCTGAAAGGAATAGTTTGAACATATGAGTGGGAGCGATGTACAATACATAGACTTTTCCGCAGCAAAAGATTGGTATCAACGAACTACACAACTACGCAGCCTTTGTTTTACGTTATTGAAGTACAGTTGAAACCACTACAATGGAAAAAGAACCAAGTAAGTGTCTTTTATTCTGAGAAGTTGAGATGATGAAGATCCAATACACGAAAAATAATATAACAACTAGTAAAGTAAAATTATTTCTAGGCTCAGTGCTTATTTGTTTTGTTGCCTATTTTAGGATCAAAATGTTCTTATCTTTCTTTCTTATTGTATACAAATTTGTAAAGCTAGTAAATAATTACTGTACAGTATATTACTGTACTAATTGACCCTATATATTAATAACATAGAGATAGAGGGTAAATATAGTCTCACCGCATTGCATGTTAGATTTATTGGGTTTTCTATGAAAAGAAAATAAAAAAAATTACTTGACATTTTATCTCAGCATCATTTTGTTCTTATTTTTTTTTATACAATATCAGCTTCAGTGTTTTTATATATAAAAAAGGTATTGTGTTTTTTAATTAAGTAACTAATAATATATATTTAATTTGTGCTTATGTAGGTCCATATATAATAAATTAATAATAATTATTATAGGCCTATTATATTTATATTTAAAATTAGAATATTAGCATAATACATTAAGATATATAACATATCAGGCCCTAGAATTTTCGATGGAGAGGTGCGTATTGCGAGCAAAGTGGACCTTAGGCTGGAGAGCGGGAGTGCGGGCAAAGTCCCTGTAATCCCCGACTAATAAGCATGTTGAGGGCCTTATAAATTGATTTCTATTCTATTAAAATTTTTATTCATTTGGGTGTTGGAAGTAACTTAAAGTTGGAACTTTTTATACCCTGTATATCTGTAAGCCAACAGGTAACATTGAATTGTTCATAACGGATCCATTTGCAATCACTGGAGCTGATAATTTCCAACAAATTTCGTACCACAATTATTAAGGCAAACAAATTTCCGCCGTGTAGACCTAAGCTTATAGGCCTGCTTAGTATTAAATTTAACATTTGCAGGGTAGCAAGTAAAACTCGATCGCTTAGGCCAACAAAATTACACATATAAAGCTATGATATGCTAGTCGTTAAACAAAACAAAAACTCATTTTTTATCCCAAATGTGAATAAACACTACAGTAATTCGAAATAAATACAGTGTATTCTTTTCCTTCATTATTGCTTACGTATCGGCGTTAATGGTCCCTCGTACTCGTATGACCCTCGTCTCTTCCCGCTATTCCCTTTTACTAGGCCTAAAAGTCTATGGAAGCCTATTGCAGTATAAGTGAGCCTGGCTTAAGATTTAATGATATCTTAACATCAACCGTGATAGCTCTTGTTCTTTTAAAATGAGGGTGCACTGTTATGCAGTGAATATCGAATAGAGAAGTGGCCGGATCAGGGAACTAGGCGAATTCGATTTTTTTTTCATTACATACATGGATAGTTCAATAATTAACTACGAAGTTCTTTACTGCACATGCTTATGATGAGCAAAACTTCATGAATTGCACTATTGGGCGAAGAACTGCATAAAACCTTTTGTGCCAGTGGATTGCGACATTAAACGGACTCTGGTATCTATACAGGAGAAAAATGTGCAATAGACACTAGAAACGTTATCACGCTCTTATTATTATTTTAAACTTTGAAGAAAAACTTGGTTATTGAGATAAAAAGCACTTAATGAGATACGGTATAGATTTTTGAATATTTAAAATCTTGGGGAAAACATGGAAAAAGGGGTAGATCGTTGGAATTACTAAATTTCATTGACGTTTGCCTCAAACTCCGTCCAAGCAAAATAAATAAGTCAATAAATAAATAAAAATCCTTAAACAGCATTCTTTCGTACAGTACAGAACATAGTACAGCGTACTGGAGAAATGTATAGTCGAAGCAACAGCCTAATGTGAATTAATAGGTTTTAAAGGTTATCATGATTTTTAAAATACATCAAATGAAGCCGACATTATTATTTTTTTGATTACTTTTATAATTTTGTGTAATCTTTTGAATAATAGCAATAACACATGCAACAGTACGGTAATAATTAGAAAAAGAGTACAAACATTTTGATTGAACGTTTTAAACCTTATTTAATAACTTGTTTTATATAATATAATAAAATTAAACAATGTGTAACAATAGCCTAATGTGAATTAATGAATTTTAAATGTTATCATGATTTTAAAAATACATCAAATGACGTCGACATTATATTTTTTTTTATTTACTTTTAAAATTCTGTGTAATCTTTTCAATAATACCAATAACACATGCAACAGTACGGTAATAATTAGAAAAATAGTACAAACATTTTACTTAAACATTATAAACTTTATTTAATAACTTTTTTTATATGATATAATAAAATGAAACAACGTGTAACAAGAAATTATGTTACAGGCGAACAAAGTAGTGTCCTAATTACAATATATTAAGCTTATTTTGTTAAATCACGATACAAAATTAAGAACTCAATTAGGCCTATACCAAATAAGACGTCAAAATACAAAACTCCCCCATGGCCCTCTCGAGGGCCCTTCCCGGCCTCTACACCCCCTCCCGCGGTTGGCTCGGGGCCTTCTGCCCCGTCGTCACACACTGGTCATTTGAAGTTCCGCATTTACAATTGTTTGCACCCACCCCCTGATGGGAACCACCCCGCGCCCCTGGAAGAACTAACAAATAAAATGCAATGCATTACTATAGCTAGTAACTACAGCATTGAAGAACGTTGTTACTGAATTAAGAGGTTACGCTTTTGAAATTTAGAAGTCGAGTGAGGGGTGAGACCCCGGATGCTCCGACAAAGTTGCATTTTGAGAGCCTTATATAATATGATTTCTGAAACCCATCAATTGTGAGTATTTAAATTTTCATTCATTTGGGTGTTGTAGGGACCTGAAGAAATAACGTTTTGTTTTTATTCTTTACAATTGTATGACTACAGATAAAATTGTTTATAATCAATCAATCAATCAATCACTGTAGCTGATAATTTCCAACAAATTTCGTACCACAGTTAAAAATCAACGTTTAGAAGGGCTGCCAAATAAAGTGCAATGTATAGCCTACTATAGCATTTCGTGATAATTAGGAACAATTTCTAGTGAAATAATAAGTTTTTAAAAGTGGATTTTTCAAAGTTGTTATTTTGTTTTCAGATGCTCCACAAACCAGTCCATTACCAGAGGTACTGTACGTTTCGCTTTATCGAAATGAATAAATGCATCGATTATAATGAAGATAAATTTACATAAATAAATTATATTATCAATAATAATATTTACGGGTAATAAATATAACTTTGTAATAATACATAGCAGGGGTGTGTCTAGTAGTCTTTAAATGCGGGTGGAGGGTTGGTGTGGGCGTAAAGGTGAAATTTATAGGAGCTCGATGATTAAGTGAGGGGGTTTCTAGCCTGAAAAACAAGGTGATATGAGGTGATGTTTATCTACTTGACCATTATTTTTTTTCTTTGGATATTTTCAATAGAGTTTGGGGGGAGGGCGACTGGGGAAGGCGAGTTTTTTTTTTAAGTGGGGGTGTGCGCTCCTTTAGATACGCCACTGATAAAATACTAACAATAATGTTAAAATGCCTTAACAATTGCAATTTACTTGGATTGACTATGCACAAAAGAAATACCCATAGAACGGTACGCTTGTACACATAGGCCTAACATTAATTCTGATCAGACGTACCTGCAATGCACAAATATAGCCTTAAAACATTTTTTTGCCTGACAACGGAGCGAGTAAATTAGCACATATAAAGTGAGAGTTGGGATTTCATGAAACAAACCATGTGTGTAAGGACGATATGTTGGGTTAATGTTTAAGTTCAACAATCGTTTCACGCTAAATACCACACCAATAAAAATTTAAAAGAGAAAAACGAATTGAACATTTCTATTATTCAATGTTTTAGCTTTCAATATAATCATGTGTTAACATTTTATATCTTGATGGCAAATTTTACGGTTGATTGAAGTACATAGGCTACTCCACTTTTCACAACTTGAAACGACCGACAGAACAAAGAACAAAACAAAGAAGCATGGATTGCAAAAAAAAAAAAAAAAAAAAAAAAAAAAAAAAAAAAAACATAAAATAAAATTGAATAAAAAAAAGAATAAAGTAAATTCTCAATAAATTGCTTTATTTTTTCATTTTTATTTAGAATTTAAAAAAAAATCACCTTGAAGATCACAATGTTAGTGGATAAAGAATAAAAGGCCAAAATAAAAAAAATAATAATGATCATAATGATAATAATATATAATTTTTGTTTAAACTGCATATATAATTGCTTACTTTGTGTTTCTTTCAGGCACCACCTGTATGGTACAAAAGAACGACCCCATACGAAGCCCCCAGCAGCTCCTGCAATATGCAACCTGCTACAAGTGTGACTGTAGTAAGAACTCAACCAGATAACTACTTTTGTGTGGCTACGTTTGAGGCACTATGTTATACAAAGATGTAAACAAAGAACCAAACAACTTAGAAATATACCGTAGCGAACAATAAATGAAATGAAATAAATAAATAAATTGATAAATAAAGTTAATACTGAATATATTACTTTATTTTTTCATTTTCATTATAAAAATTTAAAAAGAAATCAACTTGATGATCAAAATATCATTGAATATAGAATTTAAAAAAAAACAAAATCAAATGATAATGATAATAATGATGATAATATATGTTTGCTTAGGTTTTAAAGCTGCCCTTGTAAATGTACCATCCTTAGGGCTACCTATTTTTGTTTCAGGCACCACCTCCATACCACGACAATCAAGCAACCGCATACGAAGCTCCAAGCAGCTCCGAAAATAAGCCTGTTGCTACCGTGACTGTAGTAAGAAATTAACCAGATAACTACTTATGTGTGGCTCTCTTTGAGGAATCGTTGTACAAAGATATCACCAAAGAACGAAAAAAAAAGAAATCTAGAAAAAATATATAAAATGAAATAAATTAATTGATAAATAAAGTGAATACTGTACTGAATAATTTTTTGTTTTCATTTTCATTATAAAATGTAAAAACAAACAAAACAATTAACTTGATGATCACAATATTATTGGATATAGAATAAAAAAAATAATATTAATGAATAAATAATGATATTAATATATTTTGCTTAAGTTTTAAATTTAAACTGCACTTTAAAATGTACCATCCTTAGGGCTATCTATTTGTGTTTCAGGCACCACCTCCATACAACATTCAAACGACCCCATACGAAGCTGCCAGCAGCTCCTACAATCAGCCTGTTACTACCGTGAATGTAGCCAGAACGCAACCAGATAACCACTTATGTTTCGCCATCTTTGTGACACTATGTTGCTGCTTCCCACTTGGAATCATCGGAATTGTGTTCAGCCAAATGGTAAATTAACACATTATTTCACAAATAACCTGCAGAATAACAATTGTTACGCCACACCATGTGGAAATATCTATGAAACTTCACAGAAACTTACAATACACCACGAAACTCAGTTTGATTTTGAATTTAGATTGTAGTACCATGTGGTAAAATCTCGAATGGAAAATTGCAAAATTTATCACAAAAAGAAGCCAATCTCGAAAAGAAGCCCATTTAGAATAGTCCTAAAAAATGAAGCCTAGAGCTTCTATTCGAGATTTTACGGTATATTCTGCAGTCAACTGAATCACGTATACTCATATATTAATTCCGGAGTTTATAATGTTTATTTTTCTCAACAATAGTTTACAATACAAATATCCTGTTGTTGTAAGTTCGTAAATATTATGAATTTCTGGAATATTCAACTTGCCTTGGCTTGTACAGTCTTGTTCTGCTAATAAAAACTGAAACAATAACATTTGAATTCTATTAATTATGAAATCTACTCGATTGATTGATTTCATTGCTTCGATTTTTTTTCTTTTAGAGTTCAAGTAAATTTAACCGTGGAGACGATGTCGGAGCCGTGAAGTATGCTGAGAGTGCGAATAAATATTCACTCGCAGGGTTATTGGCTGGTGTGGTGGCTATCATAATAATAGCTCTTAAGCAGTATGTCATGTGAGCTCTCAAGGGCGAAACCCGGGCCACCAGTCAAAAAGGAGTGCTGAAGGAAGCACGAGCAGTTCCCCAGCAATCTACTACAGAGCCTTGATATTACCTTCCAACAGAAGACACTCAACAGCGGCCTTTATTCAAACAGCTTAATCACTACCGGTATATAACAACACTAAATACACCAGACTCAAACGCTTAAAAGTGGTTTTTATGTTCACTGACCGACATCTGTTAAAGTTTTCGTAATTTAAAAAATGACTATACATATATATTTTTTAAAGAATGTTTGCAATGATAAAATTACATGATTATAAACTTTGAATTTAAGATCAAGTCCCACATCGTCACGTAATGTAGTATGTTCAAAGCTACTCAGCATGCAGTTGCTTGCATTTGCATTTGTTTTACTATATGCATTGTTAGTATAATATCTTTTAACTATTTTTTAAATTTTTATGTTATGTTTTATGCATGTCTGTTATATAGAATGAAGTATTCTTTTGAAAATAACAATAAAGAAAATATTGAATTTTGAATTTTGTAACAAAACTTTGTTTTCTTGGTGTAACTGGTCAAAAAATGACACCTTTGTATCAGTAGCCGCAATAGAAGGTGCGCAGTTGCGTAACAATGGAGCTCTCATTGCCTGAAGCTAGAGGCCCCATATCATAAGTTGCCTATGGATATTCATTTGTTTTTAATTTTACGGCAAATTCTAAATTGAAAAAAAAAATCTTCGGCGGAAATGTTTAATCAACCCTCGATACATAGCCGACAGCGCAGGTTTACTTCTCATTAGAGAAAGGTTCCACTTAGGCTACAACATCCTTCTGAACCTTATAACAGTCAGCAGAGAGAAAAATCTACCCATCGTTAACTTTGTGTAAGACAAGAAAACTAATGGTGTGTAATGTTTTCCTTAAAGCTTTGTATGACACATACTGTTGATAAAAGAAAAAAAAAATTGTATGACATGAATAACATCTCTGTTCCCTTCTATTCACTTCCTGTAGTCGATAGAGCAGAAACAAAGAGTTTCTCTTTGGACCCCTTCCAATATATTTATTAACCGCTTCCGATAAATAAATCGCAGCTGGTGCACGAGAACGTATAGTAGAGAGGTCTACTTCCGATGATAGATTGTTGTAAACAAATCATCTGCATGTTACTTATCGTTCTATATTTAATATTATTGGTTTTATTCAAGGTATATTTATTAACCGTTTAACTGAAAAAAACTATAAAACAATCTTAAATCTTAATTAACATTTTATTTCAATATGATAATTCAAACTCCAAATTGAACGTATTAACTTCATAAAATTATACTATGAGACATTTTAAATAGTAGTAGTAGTAATAATAATAATAATAATAGGGCTTAATAATAATAATAATAATAATAATAATAATAATAGGTTGATTTATAAGGCGCAAATAAACGGGACCATTAATACACGCGCCCACGTCTTTGCGTATGTCTGAACGCTGTTGTTTTGTGGGACCTTGGCAACAGTATTCATGGGGCGGGGCTTAGCGGAAAGGTCTAACTTATATTACACTTAATTAATTTAAAAATAGATTACAACTTATGTTATCAGAATGTTTTGGAAACTCGGAACAAGTTTCAACGCCGATGTGATGTTCTTTTTCAGTTGACAAGTTAGACAAGTTGACACTTGGCCCATTATCCACCCAACTCGAGAAATGCTCTTTACCTAAAACGTTGTTATGTGACGTATGCTTTGTGTTCCGCTAAACATTTCGAAGATGCTCGAAAATGCGTTTTTTTCTGTTAATGACTTGAAATAGAGTTTCTGCTGCCATGTTGTAAACGTGGCATAATACCTTAATTTTTTTCAGGATCGTTAAAAAATTTGCCTAAGCAGATGAGTAGAAAATAAATTGCAGACCTTAGAGACATAAACTTGGTGATTTTATTATTCGCTTTTCGCGAAATAGTGCTATGATTCCACAATACACATGTGCAAATGGTTGTGAAAATCAGTTTTAGAAGAGGGCGTCCTATCTGTTGCCATGGATCTGAGATGGTTCCTGTTCTGCTCACAGGATTGATACCCAAGGTTAAAAGTCGCGCGGTGACGGTATGGTCAGAGCGGTCAAGGGTCAAAAGTTTCCAATTTAGCAAGAGAGCGCCATTCATGCCTTATTACAGAATTTGCACGCGTAAATCGCGGAGAACGCTATCTTGTGATCTTTGGTATTGATGTGTTCATGTATAGAGTACCCAAAACGATCAAATGATACATCACGTACACATGACTCATGTGCTCCTTATTGTACTGTATTCATTTTTTTTTAAATCTTAGAACAAAAAGGAAAACATGAAAAATAAATACCGTATAATATGAATAGGCCTATTATCATTTACCGGGCATAACTGTAGAATAAAAAATCGAACGTTTCTGATGTATAATTGATTGATTGTGTAATGACAAGTTATGGGTTATATATTCTGTGTAATTGGTCTGAGTTCTAAGTTTAATTTTAATTAAAATATAAAACATGAAAAAAATACTATTGGAATTGTTACAGCTAAATTTGTCAATAATGTAATTTTAACCACATTTGATTTACTGTTTTTCATTTGTTTGATTGGGGTAATGCTGGGTTCATCAGCCTCTGATTTACCTATAAGAAATAAAGCTGATGCTCGACTCACAGACAAGAAAAAAAAAATGCATATATCAGAAAAATATGATGTGACGTATTTCATAATTCATGATGGTGTGTACGTATGATTTGACACAAGGTGACATGTATTTCATGATACCATGGTTTGAACATCCGTTCATATGAAATTCTTTGGAAGCATGAACACAAGGGGCGTAATTTTATTTAAACATAAAAAAAATGTAAATATATGAATATACCAAATGTGACGATATAATTCATGATGGAGTATGTCCACAAAAGTTAGTACAGATTAAACGTCGGTACTTTATGGGCAGATTCTATGTTAAAAAAACAAAACAAAACAAACAAAAAACCAAAAACAAAACAAAAAATGTAATTGCGAATAGATGACATGCAAAAATTGTATCATGAAAGATTTGTGCATTGTGAAACAGTCAAAAGAGTCGAAAAAATTGAAAAATGTAACTGTTGTAAATATGAGGATTCGCAATAAGTTTCTTACTTATGCACTTTAGGAAATATAGATAAGTATAAAACGAAAAATTATTGAAAAAAGAGATAATGGAAAATATAGGTGGGTTATCCCCACAAAAGAGAGAGAGAGAGAGAGAGAGGAGAGAGAGAGAGAGAGAGAGAGAGAGAGAGAGAGAGAGAGAGAGAGAGAGAGAGAGAGGAGAGAGAGAGAGAGAGAGAAACCCAAAACTGCAGAAGTTGTCGGGTTCGTATATCTTGTTACAACACGCACTCACCAACATCCCCCACACATACTGATATAAACAATTACTGTATATAAAATGATATAACAACAGTGCTGTAGTAGGAACATAAACTGTAATAATCGCATTAAGGATATCCCTTCAACGAAACTACAAACCTAATTTTAGGCCAATATTTTAAGTAGGCCCACACGTATTTCAGGAAAATAATGGGAAAAAAATTAGAAAGCGCAAAGAATGGTCTAGAAAAAAAAACTATAAGAACCAGGCGGAAATACAGTACTGAATAACGTGTTTTGATTTGACAAACATTCGCACATGCGCTTAAGACAAGGCCATTTCCGAGTGTTTTATAAATTGAGTGCTAAATAGGCGATGCAACCTCTCCGACAGAGAATCAATACCAACTATTCAACTTCGTTTTAAGGTATGCAGATTGGAATCATTACAATGGAAGAACCGAGTAAGATACTTCTCTATTATTAATTTATTTTATTTTATTTTATTTTATTTTATTCAGTATAAAACCAACAGCGATGAAAACCGCCACTAACAGGTTCAACTAAAACATATATAAATATATATTATAAACTTCAAAACTGAAATAAACTAAAATACACTTACACAAATTTAACTATTTTGCTTTTAAAAATATTAAGACTATCTTAAAAAATATCAATATTAAAACAAGTATCAAGTAGTCTATTAAATTCGTTCGGTAAACGTTGAAAAATACCCCGTTTTATGCAATCAACACGACCGTAAGGAACATGAAGTAAACACTTACTGCGGGTACGAGTCGGGATGTTTAAACTGAACATAGAAACAAGAGGACAATCGTAAATGGAATTTAAAGACTTATATAAAAATACCATGTCAAAAATAATTCTACGATTTTCAAGAGACATAAGAGAGACATTATAATTGGGACAAGTATGACTAAGAAACCTAATAAACTTATTCTGAACATTAGAAATACGCTGGGCTTGTGTAAAAGAAACTGAACTAAAAATAACAGAACAATATTCCAAATGAGGGCGCACAATTGAACGGTAATTAATTTTGAAATACACTTTTTAATACGGGTGCCATTTGGTACATTCAGTATTTTGCTTACAAAACTGTGTTTTGTGAAAATTTTGTTTTGTTTGAGAAAAACCTATTCTTTCAACAGAATAACTATTCTGTCCAAACAAAAGTTCTTTGTCGAAAAATAACTTTTCATGGACTAAAAAAAAAATAACTTGTTCTGTAAAAGGGTGCGGAGAATTCGTGTGGTTGGAAATGAGGTGTACAAAGCTGACCAATAAAAGTGTTCGTTTGCGCAGCAGAAGACGACAAAATAACTTTTGCTTGACAACGTAGCATTTGTTGTGACAAAATTGGGAATATCCGAAACGGCGTCACAAACAGCGCCACGATTAAAAACATGCAAGCCATCAACAAACATATTATTTTCGAATCCTATTAGTGCCAACCTAAGCAGCCTATTATTATTTAATAAAAACTTAAATAGAACAATTTTAAAATGTACTTCTTGCTACTATCTTAATTAGGCATAGGTATTTCAATCTTTTATTTTCTTTTCAAATGTTATGCCTACTGTCAAAATTTTATACACTTGTATTTTTAGTATGTACTCGAATACAATTCTATTGCATTGTATTTTATATGCGAAATAGACAAATTAAATTAAATTTTGTATTTTGAATCTTAAATCTTTTTTTTCAAGTTGTTTTAATGCATGTAAATTACTCATAGGCTATGTCCAAACACAAGGAGTCAACCAACGGACTCCACATTAGCGTACGCCACGTCACCAAGTTAAGGCCACTGATGATGTCTATGCCTCACTGCTGGGTGGCAAACATGTAAGACGAATTCGAGTCAACTCGGCCCCAAGTTAACTCGGCCCTAGTCAACTCAGCCCCAAGGCAACTCGGCCCCAAGTCAACTCGGCCCCATGGCAACTCGGCCCCAAGTAGTCAATTCGGCCCCAAGTTAACTCGGGCCCGCCCCAATTTACTGTGTATTTACTAAATATTTACCAAAAAAATTTGAATGCAAAGTCAAAAAATTTTTTTTTTATGTCGTTCTTTGTTTTTATTTTCATTTCCATCCACCTACCGGTAACAATAATGAAAGATGCATTTATAAAAATG